AGACGGGTCACATGACTTTGGAAGGTGTTTAGCTATTACTTTTATCGGACGCAGTTGTTTATTTTCATAAGAATACCAAGCAATTTTTTGCGTAGATAGTGCTTTTGTTATTGATCTGTAGTCATTAACCTCAGATGTACTGATTTTGTACAAAGTACTATTTAAAAGTTTGATAGAAAATTCTTCTTTACAGTTGTTTTTAGCAATGAGAAGGAGATCTGAGTAGTTCATTCCTTCTGAGACCATAATTGGCGGTGGACGTGATGATTTTTGGTCTGCTGAGGCATTCTTAATTGCATAAACTGATGCCATATTTTTGTCCTTGGAAGGAGATATGGAGTCAGGAGAGCGATCAGGTTTTCTCTTCTTAGCGGGCCTTTTCTTAAAGATCCACTCCGTTTCTTTCGCAAGTTCATCTTCATCAGTTTCGTATACAATTTGATTGTGCACATTCTCAGACTTTTGGGTAACAGGTAATGGAGAACCTTTAAGCAACTCATTTTCTTTTTTAAGAACTTCTATCTCATTTCTAAGTTGAAGACATAGCTGCTCCATATTGTTTATTTTTTCTATATATTTAGATATAGCACTACTTTCGGCTTTCTCTTTAAATTTTGATACTTTTCCTCCACCATAAAGTGGAGGTTGCTGCGGATTCATATTAGATTAAGTTCTTTGCGTAATTTTTGTTAGTTGATATATATATAAAAAGAAAATAACTTACAACTACGCTATTAGAGCTGACAAATTGAATTACACAATAATATTTTTTTACACGATGTAAAGCCAAAAATTGTGCACTAGTTTAGTAGTTTTGCAACACTATGCTGTCTATATCAGCTGATTGTATATGTGTAATAAAATATCAAATAACAAATATTAGGTGAATGTTATTTTTTGTTTTATGTTTTTGATTTTCCGTTCGGAATATTATAAAAAAAAATCTAATCAATTAATAAAATAACACCGCGGGCGCGATATTTCGGCACTTTCGGCAAGTTCTTTAACTAATTATGATATTATATTATATTTTTTGGTACTTTCGCATTTAATGACAAGTCTTTTACTAGGTTTCACTTCGAAAAAACACGGAGCGCACTACGAACGCGACTTACTTTTTCAAACACAAAAGTTCTGCTAGTGAGATGATACCAACACTTACAACAGCAATTAAAGAAGCTGCTAGCCCATTTCAACAAGGGCCAATGAGGAGAAAATGTAATAAAGATTGGTTCGATAAAGAGTGTGAAATTGCAAGGACAAACTGTTTTAATAACTTGAAGATGGCGAGAAAAAGGGTCCTAGTTTCAGATTGGAATGAATATAAGATAGCCAAAAACGTTTACAGAATTGTTTGCTATAATAAAAGAATCTAACACACTAATGGTCTTGCCTCATCATTATCATCAGTAAAAGACTCCAAAAGCTTTTGAAATAATGAACGTAAAGTAAATGGCATAAATTTCAGTAAGTCAGTGCATCTTAATTCTGACGTTCTAGGTACTTATTTTGAAAAACTTTTAAACACAACGGATAATACAAATCGTTTTAGCTACGCAGAACCACTAATTGAAATCAATGAATTAGACAAAAAATCGAGGTAGTTGAATTAACAGAGGTTTTAGAGCGTTGCAAAGAACATAAAGCGCCTGGTGAATTCCAGCAGACCTGAAACCATGAATAGAATTCCAGCAGAATTTTTAAAATGTGCTTCAGGTGAAGGTATCACAAGGATTAAAGAGGTTTTTAACTACATATACGATAATTCAGAAGTACCGGGATGTTTTAAAAATTCAATAGTTTGTCCACTATTTAAAGGAGGAGATTCGCATGAGGTAAAAAATTATAGAGGAAGATCCTTTTAAAATTTGATATCAAAAGTATTTACAGGCATATTACATCAACGACAGGCTTCAGGCGTGGTTACTCAACTGTAAAAAAGGGAAAAAGTCATGAATTTTGTAGGCTTTAAAGCTGCATTTGATTCTATAGGCACAGATGCTATGTTTTATAAGTTAAGTAATTATGGTATATCTATAAAAATGCGAAACATACTTATATTGTAACGCGACTGCAGCAGTTTGGGATGGAAACAGTTTTTCCAAGTGGTTTTCTTCGAACACAGGAGTAAAACAGGGTTGCTTGATGAGTCCTCTACTTTTTGCGTTGTTCATAGACGATTTAAACAATTATTTTTGCGAAGGTATCCTAATAAATGGAACATGTATTAAATTACTTTTATATGCAGATTATATAGTACTTATGGTGGACTCACCTATAAAAATGCAGACTACGATCAATGAATTATATGCCTACTGTATGATATGGAAACTTAAAAAAAATATTTCTAAATCTAAAATTATGATATTCAAAAGGAATTGCAGAAAGCTTATGCAAAATGAAATTTGGAACTTAAATGGTGAAGTGTTAGAAGTAGTAAAAGAATACAAATATTTAGGAGTTTGAATCACTTATAATGGTAAATTCTATGAACATCTCAGTAAAAAGTTAAGTGAAGCCAGAAAAACAATAAACTGGTCATGGAAAGTACTTTTAGGAAAAAATGAGGTTGCACCCTCGGTAAAGTTTCAAGTATTTCAAGCGGCTGTAAGATTAATCCTCTTTTATGCAGCACAAGTATGGGGAACAAACAAATTTAACGAATTAGAAATGCTTCAAAGGTACTACATAAAAAGAATATTTAAGTAACCGCAAAACACGCCTAACTTTATGCTGCATTTAGAAACAGAATTTTAAGTATTGAGACGCTAAAACTACATTTTAAATATATAAATCACGTCATAAACCTGAGTGACAATAGACTCCCCAAAATTCTGGCAAGTTTCCTCTCAAATACGAAGACAGATTTTTTCGAAAAATGGCAATCACTGGCTAATACGCATGATAAAGTATTGTATTGTTCGTGGCAAAAAATATAGTGATAAAAATTATAGACAATGAAAGAGCTAAATTTATATTGGCTGCAAGGGCAAATGATTATAGACATGTTTACAGAAGGTTGGAATATGAATTACGCGATCGGAATTATTTTAAGGATGATTATACTATTAAAACTATCAGCCAAATTTTTAAACTCGTGACGAAACTCCTTGAGTTAATTAACACTTTATTGGATTATGTCCAATTCTGAAAGAAATGCGCTACAAATTCTATAGAAAACACAATCTTACAGGGCCGCAGTCTCTGGCTACGTAAAATATGCAATTAGTTACAGGCAAAGAATAATAAATAAAAATTTTTAGTTTGAAATAAAATAGAATAAGAATGAGAAAAATAAATACAATTCTGCTTTAATATACTTTGATTTGCTTTAGAATACTTCCTTATTAGTTAATTAGTTTGTTGGCAGACGACATTTGGGCAATGCCTTTAGTTCAATAAGTAACAATATTTCAATGTGTAAATATTTTGTAATTTATTTATTAATAGCATAAATTAACGTGGAAGTTCAGTTTTAAAATTGAAATATTACACTGATATCGAATTAAAATAAAAATTTTACTACTACTACTAGTTCGCAAGTATACCTTGTGATCAAAAAAAAACTTGAATTTTTAATTTTTGAATTCCCGCGCTTATCCAATCGGTAAATTTTTTTTATTTTCACGCTGGTAACACTATTATACACATTCTGTCAAAGTTTAACGCATAGCGTACTATTAGTTTTTGTTTGGCGTCTATACAAAGAAGTCGAATAATTTTCGTGTTGCGATTTTCAACTCATGGCCTCTATGGTCTCAAAACGCGTTTCTGGCAATGGCAATTTGAGTCGGTGGAAGAGGAAAAAGTCACACGGGACCATATCTGGAGAGTACGGTGCTTGGTTGATGATATTGGTGGAGTTTTTGGCCAAAAACTACGGCTTTTTTTGAATGAAATTCAGCTTTTTTGCCACCAGCCGAGAAGCGACGCGTTTCAAACCCAAAACATCAGTTAAAATGTGTTCGACCAATCCTTATGAGATGCCCAACAACACTGCAATTGCTCTAATCGGTTCACAACGATTTTCCAACGCGATCTGCTTCGCCAATTCAATGTTTTCTTCAGTAACGGGTGTTGTTGGGCGGCCAGGGATCTCATGATTGTCCAAGCTTGTACGACCGTCTTTGAACCTTTTAAACCATTAGTATACCCGTAATAGTGTTGCCAGCACGAAAATAAAAAAAAATTATCGATTGGATAAGCGCGGGAATTCAAAAATAGGTCTCTCGTTCTTTTTTAATCAGAAGGTATGGCCCTATTCGAATGGACGATGAGACATTCAGAAGCCTAACAAATAACAAAGTTCTGTGAGTTCGGTCAGTCAGCCAGTTTCTTCCGATATAAAAACAACTAAGTTAATTATTATTAAATAATAACAAAATTTATATAAATTGGGTCCTGAAGGGACAAAACTATGTGGAAATAATAAATTCGTAATAAAGAAAGAGTACAATGACTATATGGAATTTTTGAAACTGTGACTAAATAAAACCGAAACAAAAAAAATTATATAATATTTTTAAATAAATAAACATATTTAAATTGCATTAAAAATTAATGTGTATACAGAACTTCTGTGAGAGTGATCAATATAAAGATATATATTATTTGCAAGTCACTTCTCTAATAATTGTAATTAAATAAAATATTATCAACAACAATATAAAGTGTTTTATTTAAATACAATATTTTGGAACACACAACAATTTGGCAAAAGGATTTTTTTTTGAATCTTTTTGGAAGTACATACAACAATAGGTAATTTGAGTCAATACGAAAGTATTTAAAAGCATATCCCTGCGTTCAGTTTGGTTTCATTCATTCTAATCTTATTCACAACACAAGTATAAGCTTATCACCCCTGATGTTGGAGTGTGGGTTAATTTTTTAATTGTGAAATATATATACCTACTTTCAACCGAGATATTAATAAAAATGCAATCAACTTATATTTAAAGTAAAGAAAAACTATTTGAAACAGTAACATCGAACGCATATTAATATTGTATCAGAAGATAACAAAAATTATATTTCTGTTCAAATCTTTTTTAAACAAACTTCATGCAATAACACTGTTTATGTCAATGTATTTTTAGCAACTTCCAGAGCGCAGCTTAAATCATTTATTAAATCATCAGAATCTTCAAGTCCAACAGATAATCGAATAAGTGAATCATTTATTCCAAGCTTTTGTCGATCCTCTAACGGAACAGATGCATGCGTCATTACCGAACTGAAAATAAAACAATTAAATACATGTTTGTGATTACGTAACTCAAGTATATTTACGGCAGTTCTGCTAAACTTTCATATCCACCTAAGCTTTCTGCTAGTGCAAAAATTTTTAGTGCTCGAAGAAAGGCTTTAGAATGTTCCAGCTTTCCTTTGATGTAAAACGAAAATACACCACTATAGCCATATGTTTGCTGAAGTGCTATTTTATGTTGTGGATGTGAAGGAAGGGAAGGATGTAGGACCTTCTCCACGAACTCGTGCGATTCCAAAAATGTAGCTACTAAAACAGAATTTTTATGATGTTGTTCCATGCGAATGGACAAAGTCTTCAAACTGCGATTTACAAGAAAGCAATCAAACGGCGAAGGAATGATTCCAGCAGCTTTAAAACAAAACACCAAAAACGACACAAAAATTATTAAAATATTTTGATATTGTTCACTTATATAATTAAAAGTCAATTCATTTTATTATATGAGTATTTAAAATAATTATATTAATTAGTAATTGGTAGCATCATGGTCAAAATAAATGTTTTAGCTGACCTATTGACATGGTGATAAGATGATATCAAAATGTTCCCAAACACTATAAAATAAAACATTATAATTTAATGCAGATATTTAGTTACACTAAACATATATAAAATTGTTTTATTTTTTTTTACGTTTATATTAAGATCATATTATATACACATATATAACCACAAAATTGGTAGATGTGAAACGAAATAACAGCATAACATTAAAAAATAAATTGGAGCGTGACATTAAAACCAAAATGCATTTATCTAAAAAGGACGAGTTTTTTTCTCTCAAAGTAAAGAATTAGTGCTCACGACGAATATGCAATAGTAGCACTAGTTTTCGAAGATGTAGACATCATATTTTAAAACAATAAGTCTTATCTCAGGTTTACATATGTAGGTTGAATAAAGATTCAGATCCGAGGATCTAAAAGATGATTTTATTAAATATGATGGCTTCGATTTAGATATCCTCAAAGTAATAACAAATATTCTTCATGATCCACACGACTGTTGATATTTATTTGTTGCATCTTCCCTTACAGTGAGACTAAAAATAATTCTTAAAATCGTATCACTAATTACATGATATTACGCTTTTTTATTTTATAACTATACACATTATATATGAAATGAAATGAGCGTTTTTTATATACGGTATGAAATGAGCGTTTTTTGGTGAAAATAAAACACTAATTATTAATAAGAAAGTAAAAAACATTTTATTCAAAGTATTGGCCATTGCTTTCTACACATTTTGACCACCTTTCTGGCAATTTGTGGATACCACGCCAAAAAAATTATTCGTCTTTTAAAGCAAACCAACCAGACACCCAATTTTCGACCTCCTTGTAGGAATCAAAGTGCTGCTCAGACAATGCGTGTCCCATCGATGAAAACAAATGGTAGTCGGAAGGAGCCAAGTCTGGTGAATACGGCGGGTGGGGTAGCAGCTTCCAGCCAAGTGTTTTGATTGCATCCTGAACCCGTTTTGCTTTGTGTGCAGGTGCATTGTCATGGAGCAGAATTGCCTTGCCGTGTCTTCTGGCCCATTCTGGTCGTTTCTCGATCAATGCATGGTTCAAATTTATCATTTGTTGTTCATAGCGACCAGCATTAATGGTTTCACCAGGTTTTAGGAGCTCGTGGTACACCACACCTTTCTGGTCCCACCAAACACACAGCATTGTTTTTCTTGCCGAATCGATCTGGTTTTGCAGTCGATGTTGATGGTTGTCCCGGATTAACCCATGATTTTTTCCGTTTAGGATTCTTAAAATAAATCCATTTTTCATCGCCAGTAACAATCCGATGCAAAACCGATTTTCTTTCGTGTCTTTGAAGCAAAATTTCACAAGTGTTTTTCGGTTTTCCATCTGTCTTTCATTCAATTCATTTGGCACCCATTTTTCACACTTTTGGATCTTTCCCATAGCTTCTAAACGGTCAGAAATTGTTTGTTGTGCAACATTTAACATTTCTACCATTTGCTTTTGACCCAAAGTGTCATCTCCATCCAATATCGTTTGCAATTCGGCGTCTTCAAACTTTTTTGGCGGTCTTCCACGTTCTTCATTTCTCACATCAAAATCATTATTTCTGAACCGTTGAAACCATCTCTTGCATGTTGCTTCTGATAGAGCATGATCACCATATGCCTCGACAAGCATTTGATGCGACTCTGCACCACTTTTCTTCAAATGAAAACAAAAAATTAATGCTTTCCGCAAATCATCACTTTCTGGTACAAAATTCGACATTTTTAACACGATGAAAAAATATGATGTTGTCTGTTCAATGACTTGATGTATACTAAATATATTTCACACATGTCATAGCAAACAAACAAAAAAAAAGGCACGTTCACAACAAATGTTCCCTGTCGGAACATTTGTATCTTTACGCTCACTTCATACCGGTACATCTAGTAATATAAAATAAAATAAGTATACCCTGTTGCGTCACGGAACTCACTTAAATCAATGGGTTAAATTTCGTTAGAGTGAATGTTAGGTGGTTTAAGTATGCAAAACGACTTTTGGGGTTTTTATTTGAATCTATTGAATTTTAATTAAAGACTGGACGGTCAACTCTTTTTAGGCGGGAAGTAATGGATGAAGTGCAGGATTTCTTGCTAAGGGGTTAATATGTTCTGTGAGCATTTATTATATTTTTTTCTTATATTGTCACATCCAGCTTTAACTAAGATAATTTGTAGATCTGGTTGGATATTTTTTTCCTAACATACCATGAGGCACCAGTGATTGTTCTGAATATTTTTAACTGAGCTCTTTGGATAATTTCAATATCTGATGCACTAGCATCACCAAATGGCTGGATACCATAAGGCCATATTGATGTTATGATGCAGTTATACAGGCTTACTTTATACTTTAGGAACAAGGAGGATCTTTTATTAATGAGCCAGTGTAACTCACACGCTTGAAGCTGATTTCAGCTTTGAAAGCAGTGCTCTTTCAAAGAGCTTAGAAAGTCATGGCAGTAAGCTTATTGGCCTGTATGAAAAGGCAAGCGTGGGATCCTTACCTGATTTTTGAATCATAATAATCATGGATGTATTCCACTCTGTTGGGTAAAAGCCAAATTTAATAATGGCATTAAAAAGTCTTGTGATAAAATTTATGGCCAAAAGCGGTAAGTTTTGTATAATGACGAGTGAATGTTATTATATCCCGGTGCATTTTTGCAATCTAACTTGTTGATGATTATTTGAACAAGATCATTAGCCGTGTTATTTATGTAAATAGATGGTGTATATAAACTCTGAGTGGAAAAGTCTTGTTCTAGGGGACCTAGAACTAGAAACTGCTTTCCCATCAGGGTGATTGGTTTAATAGATTAAAAAACTAGGAATAGAAAAGAAATCGTTGTTTGTTGAATGTGTTTCTGAGCAAAGCATTACATCCACACTTTCTCAGGACATGAAGTTTGTGAGTTCAAATTTATGTTGCTTAAGCCGTTTGCATTCCATGTACAAATTTTTAAAGTACTCATTTATTAGACAAAAACATTTGCATTAATTGGCTTTGCATTTTAACTATCTCGTTAAAAATAGTTTGCATGATTGCCATAAACTTGTGACGACTAAATTTTTTGAATAAATTTTAGTCACACAATACGCATTTCACACGTTCACATTTTCACACGTTTCACAAAAATGCTGACGTCAAAGATAACTATAATTAAATAAAATTTGATGTTATGTACTCCAACATATCTAACATATGCTATACATACCTTGAAATACCCTGACGAATATTGATTTTAATTAATATAGTTCGAACTATATTAATTAAAATAGATTTAAATTATTTTCCCGAACCGCATGAAACACATTTTATTAAAAACAAAGCATAATCAAAACAAAATAGAAAAATGAGAAATGTCATTTATTAATTTGCTTTGTGCATTTCGGTTGATCGCCAAAAATTGCAGCGGATAATAGGGAAAAAAAGCTGCGAGTGTAATTTAAAGCTTTCAGAAGTCTACAACAGAATGCCTGATGAGGGGAAATGTTGAGGGTATTGACCGAACAACGGCTAACAAAAAAGTCCGCTCGACGCAGTTAGAAAAAAGGAGAATAAAAGGCGCAAGCGGAGAAGTTTTCGGTCTCTTGGCTCGTGGTTATGTTAAACGAAACGCAACGTACCGGTGGTGTGAATTACTCAGTTTTTGTCCATATAAAGAAATAATTAATTCAAAATTATTTATAAACTAAATTTTGATTTACAACTTTAATTATTTTTTTTTGAAAAAAAATTAAAAATTGCTTAAGAGCAAAAAGTGTAAAATAAAACTTTGATTTTTACTAATAAAATTTATTTTGGTGCTCGGGATAATAGTGATAATAGCCCCAGTATAAAAGAAATAGTTGACGGCTTTAACAGTGGTTAACTAAAAGATTTTGTACTGGTGCTCGTTCGAAGATTACAAACGTGTTGACACCATAAGCAAACGACGTGGCGCGGCTTTGGTGTCTCTTTGTCTCCGATACGTGGCAAAGTTTAAGGTGATTGGCGGTTCCTGATAATCAACGTTGGACATTGTAAGCTGCCCTGATGTACCAGAGAGGGTAAGGCTTATATATATATATATATAAAATACAGAAGTCAACAAATAATATGTATAAAACTCGAAATTAAACCGAAAACAGGATATTTGTGGAAAAAATTTTATTCTGTAATATGCAAATTTAATCTCAAATAATTATAAAGTGTAACATTAAAAATTTCATTACTGAATCCACAATTAAGGAATGTAAAAATATTATATAAAAATTCTAAGTGAAATATCAAAGTAATCTTCCCTTATATTTTTATTTAAAAACATTTTATGAGTTTTTTTTTATAAATTTTGTTGTATGTAAATGAACACAAAGAAGGCATTTATAAACGTGAAACTTAAAACATGATTAATTAATATTATTTGATTATTATTAACTACGAGTAATTATAAAGACATTATTTGAAAAAAATTGTTTTTTTTATTTAAAATACAAATTGTTCAATACAAATTGAAATCAGTTAAATATTATTTGATTAGTATTAACTACGAGTAATTGTAAAGACATTATTTGAAAAATTGGGTTTTTATTTAAAATACAAATTGTTCAATAAAATTGAAATCAGTTAAATATTATTTGATTATTATTATTTACGAGTAATTGCAAAGACATTATTTGGAAAATTGGTTTTTTTTTATTCAAAAATACAAATTGTTCAATAAAAATTGAAATCAGTTAAATATTATTTGATTATTATTAACTACGAGTACTTGTAAAGACAGTATTTGATAAATTGGTTTTTTTTTTTATTTAAAAATACAAATTGTTCAAT